ACACAAAACACACACAAACACACCACACACACAAAACACACACACACACCCCACACGACACAAAACACGACACACACACACCACCACAAACAAAAAACACACACACACCACGACCACACACACAAAACACACACACAACCCCCCAAACGACCACGACACACAAAACACACACACACACCACACACAACACACACACACCACACACACACACACAAACAACACACACACACGACACACACACACGACACACACACAACATCCCCACCTCACACAAAACACAACACACACCCCACACACACATCCCACACACCCACACACACCCCCACACCCACACACACAAACACACACACACACACACACACACACACACACACACACACAACAACACACACACACACACACACACTATCACACACCACCCCACACACCCACACACACCCCACAGACACACACCCCACCACCAACACACCCCACATCACCACACACCGACCACACACACAAACACACACCCAAACACACACACACACACAATACCACACCTAACAACACATAACCACCACAATAACACACACCAACAAAACCACTCATACACACAAAACACACACCACACACTCACACACACACCACACACACACAACACCCACAACACACAAACACAAAACACACCATACACACAAAAACACACACACACCCAACACACACAAAACACCACACACACACACACCAACACACACAAACACACACAACCCACATACCACACACACACTCACACACTAACACACACCACCACTACAACACACACACATCCCACCCCCCCCCCCTCCCACAACACTCAAACAACCCCACATACCCAACCACAGATTCCTAGCCCCACCAAACCTGCAAAATGACCCGGCCGCCCAAAAAGCCACAAATGCCATTCCAACACCGCCCTTCCCACCTACAAATCCCATATCCACAAGACTGCCCCTTCAAAAACAAAACAGTGGTGACCTACAAAACACCACGCACCCCAAGGCCCCACCTCTTAGTCCCCGAGGCTCGCGGATCACTCACCCATGCCAATTACCCGTATCGAATCCGGGAAGTGCGAGTCTTCTACAGTTTAATGTATCACCCCGGAACCCCATTCATCCTGCAAGGGAGTATAGGACTCTGATAATGTGTATGAGTTGCCAGGTTGGAACGAAGAGTGTGGGTTGGCTGCTTGGCATTTGTGACCCACAATAGTGAAAGGCGAGCTGTGAAGAGGGGGTGGCGGGTTGTCGGAGCAAACCAGAGGTAACAGGCCGTGTTTAAATTGGTAAGTGGGAAAAACACACCATATCTTGGGTCAAGCCCCTAGCCTACATCAAAGCCTTTCTCATCTGGGTGGCAGCTTACCAGTTTGTTTAATTTAGTCATACGGAAAAAAAAAACTGCAGTGGAAGGAAAGGGGATTTCTTCTTTTCAGAAGTGGAAAAACTCCTCCCCCAGGATGCAACCCACAACAATATTAACTCTTATGTATCTATTCGGAAGATAACATGCTGTAGGTGTTACACCTACCCATATTTCTTATATCTCTCCCTTGACGTTGGTGAAGGGCTCTTGATCCAGAGAATTGAGACTTTCTCTTCTCTTGGATCAGATCTGATTGCCTTTCATCTTTCAAGGTGCTGTATGGCCCCTGCGGGCTCCTCCTCCCGTGAAACCCTCCTCGTGTGTGTATGGGGGGGAGGGGTTCTGTCTCGCTTCCCCTCGGTAGTGGATGGAGTGTCCTGACCACAGTTCTGCCCACAGGATGGGTATGGGGTGCATAATAAACATTAAACTAACGAACTATTCCAGGTAACGCTTCGGAGAATACTATGCCTGTAAAAATTAAAAATAGCTACTTTACTCTGCTGTGCACCTCACCTCCAATAACGTGTTTATAAGCTCTTCTCCTCCTCATATGCCGTATTCTATTCAAGATTGATGACTGACCACATCGACTCAATGTTAGGACTGATTTACACAGTCTTCCTCCTCCATTTCAAGTTATTATCCTTTTGGTAATGGACTTGATGAAGCCACTGTGTGGCGAAGACGTTTCTCAATAAAGATACCCAAGAGATGCACATGTCTAATTTAACATGTTTGGTTCTTTAGAACCATTCCTCTAAACCACTCTCCCCATCAACGACCACTCTCCCCCCGTCAACGAACCACTCTCTACCCGTCAACGACCACGTTCTCCCCGTCACGACCACACTCCCCGTCACGACCACGACTCCCCGTCAACGACCAACTCCCCGACACTTCCCATCAATGACCACCCTCTCCCGTCCTCTCCATCAGGGCTATCTTCCCAGTCAGCTCTCCGCCGCCCCTCCCCCTTAAAAAAAAAATTATACTAGAAGGCTTAGTAACCCATGATAACTATTGGCTAATATTTACACTTAATGACAGTCGTTAACAAATATGTTCTCTAATGGTGTAAATATAAATAAGACAGTATTAATTCATATTTGAATACCTTCACAGACAGATATTATGGAAAATTTTCTAGGGTGTTACCTATATGTACCTCAACATTACATGCATACGAGTAATCTCATTGGGAGACAACTATATTGTTTACCGTAGTCACCCCGTGTAGCCATGTGAGAAAACTTAACCACCTCTGGTCACTGCAGGTGGCCCTTCGACACTCACAATCTCATCCAAAATCCCCCAAAAATATCTATCCGAGGACTCAGCAAAATGGATAGCACACACCCACAAGTAAGGGCTACTAATTAATTGTGGATTGTATAGATTATATTTAACTGAATGAAGGGGGGGGGGATAGGTTGCACATGTATATATCCATCAAGGAAAAAACACTTGTATATAATACCACCACTTAACAGATATTCTCTGGTGGTCACTTGATGTAGCTGGATCACCCATAACCTATCCAATTACAACATACCTAACTGGCCAGTATCAGTCTGCTATAACTAGAAGGGTTACTTAATTAACTGTGGGTGATTGATGCTCCTTATTTCCTCCATTCACCATCACATTTCGATGTCCTGCTACACCGACACGGTTCTTATTCCAGCAGGACCAGGTATCCGTTGGTTTGTCCCGGTTTAGAAGTCGTGACTCCGTAAAAACTTCACTGTCCTCGGGACAGGAACAACGAGGTAAACATGTGTTCACTTGGAGAACAACGACTTATTTCACTTCACGCATTCTCTTAACTTAGTGTTATTATCACTGATTACATTACAATTCACAAGACGATTTAATGTCTCATAATTATTATACACATTAGAGACCACTCCATTAAGATCTGAGACCGATGAGTGAGGATTAATTCACGGGTAATTTCCCCTGGACACACTCCATGGCAGCGCACCAGTCACCGCCGGTCCCACCATTATTCACTAATTTTACCACTTTATTACGGTGGTCCCGTAAATCATGTTCCCTCACTCTTTACCAGGAACAGTTACGACATTTCCTAACCTGAACTTCAGCACCCATATCCAACACATAACCAAAAAAGTATCCAAAACGGTTGGGATCCTCTCCAAGATATGATACTGCGTGCCGCAAACTGCCCTTCTCACACTATACCATTCACTTATATATCCATACCTCACCTATGCTATCTGTGCTTGGGGTTCAACTGCAGCAACACACCTAAAGCCAATAATAACCCAACAAAAAGTCGCAGTAAGAATAATCACTAAATCCCATCCCTGGCAACACCCCCCCCCCCCCACTCTTCATAGATCTAAACTTACTCCCTGTTCAGTACATCCACACTTACTACTGTGCAATCTACATCTACAGGACCTTAAATTCCAATATTAACCTTGACCTAAAACGTTTTCTTGATAGTTGCGACAGAAACCCACAGGCACAACACCAGACACAAACATCTCTATGACATTCCCCGTGTCCGACTAAACCTTTACAAAAATTCAATGTATGTCAAAGGCCCTAAAATCTGGAACACCCTACCTGAAAAATTTTAAAACTGCAGACACATTCATCACCTTCAAAACTACCATCAGAAAACATCTTATCTCCCTGATACACCCTGTCAACTAATTACACGAATACCACTGGTGGTTAACACTTACACTCACTCACCCATTTAACCATAAACAGAAATATCAATCTCAATCTCAAAATAATGAATCTTAACTATCATAAGTTGGCCTGTGATACTCCAATACTGAAACTATGTTAGTGCCAAAACAAAAGCATTCACATTGCTAAACTCACTAACTAGTATTTAGTCACTTAGCCATAATACCAACTTACCTCAAAATTTTGTAATATTTTAAACTTAAGATTTAATTTAAGTCTGCCCGAAATGCCTAGCCATGCTAGGTGTTCTAGTGGTACACTCTGTAATTATTATTTTACTACATGTAAACCACACAATAACCAAATTCTGTAAACTCAGCATTGTAATCCTTATAGAGAATAAACTTTGAATTGAATTTGAATTTAATTATGAAGTGAGGCCTATATTAATCCTTAGGCCGCCGTGAATGCCAATTTCCTGGTCCCATGTTTTCACAGCCTCTTAACTTCATTCAAAGCACTTCCGCTCACACCGATGCCCTCTCTCGACCTCTTCCCCGCACATCAGCGCAGACGCAGAGGGACCCTGTTGGTTCTATTCCATTTTCAAATGCATTTTTTGACCCAAATCAACACATTAAACACCTATTAGGCACTATAGCTTAGGGAGATTAAAATATTTTCCACAGATATTGAAGATTTTGATTTTGTAGACTTTCAAGCAGCACTTACAACAGATAATTCGAAACAATTTTCATTGCAGAAATAATGTTTTTGACTGCTGATTAAAACCTTTTAGATCTTCCAGCCATATTTTTTTTAAAGCTCTGTTAACACACAAAGCCAAGTATGAAGCAAGTTCTTTATGGAAGATAGAAATTTGATGAGTTTCCAGTTTCAATCAGCATATTAATCTAATGTCTTCAAAAAAAAAAGTTTAATTGCAGATAGTGGCACCAGAAACTAACTTTCAAGAGACTTGAAAGGTACTACATACCCACTGCCACCACTACTGCAGTACAAAAAATTTATTGGTTTCCCGACATAAAGGCAGTGGGCTACTACTGCTGGAAGTACTTGACAGTACTTCCCTCTCCACTATAGCCTGCACTGCTTTCCTCTCCCTGGTATGTACATACATTTTTATTCCATCTTGTATAATATTCTAATCACATTGATAATTTTTTAAACATTCCTTTGGTTTTATTTATTCTTATTCATATAATTTTTTCTTCATTGTTTATTGGGAGCATAAAAAAGGGAAACCAAATTTCAAACAAAACCGTTCCAGGAGCTATTCTAAATTCGAAAAGTCTGAAAATCGAAGCAATATTTCCCTTAAGAAATAATGGAAATACAATTAATCCGTTCCAGAAACTCAAAAATACTCACAAAAAAATGCATTTTGTAGAGATTAATTACAGTTTTACATACACAAAAAAAATACTATGTGTTCAGTTTGTATATAAATAAAAAAAAAAATTTTTTACTTACCTTTTTTAAAAAGTTGGGTGATGGCTTTTGGAAGATAGGGGGGAAAGAGGATTGGGGGTTTTAGTGTTTAAAGGGAAAATCCCCTTCCATGAGGATTTCGGTAAAGCCCTCTTGGGGTTACTTCCCTTCGTCTTTTTAAAGCCACTAGGACCCCGCTTGAGTCACTGGACCCCCGTCCCAAAATTAACTGCCCCAGTCCTCTGTTTCTGGGCCTCTTTAAAAATTTTCCCTTAAATAGGACAGGTTCTGTCATTTTAATGGTTCCCGGAGTTTTCTGTACCAGATCGGGATGCAACTTCCCTTTCCTTTTTGCAAATAATTTTTTTTTGAAAAAACCCGTACCTTCCACTCTTTACTTTATCCACTCAGCAACAACCTTAACCCCTTTAACTATTTGTGGTCTTTTTTTGGTTGCTATTAAAACCTTTTTCAAAACAGCTTCCTTGATTTGTTATTTTTTTTTCCGGGGTAAACATTTAAGACTTGTTATTCCCCTCATCCTGGCAAGCTACAAGCCCACCACTCTCATATTCTGTTTATTCCTTTTTATTTTTTTATTTATTTATTTTTTTATTTTTATTTCCCAATTGAGCACACAACAGAGGTACAAAAAAAAACAGTAAGACCATGCCAAAGCCACTTTTACTATGCATAGCATTTCGGGGGTTAAAATTTTAAATTAATTAACAAGCAATGAGAAATCAGGGTTTTAAAAAATTAATAAAAAAAGATTACTATAAACACAAGTGAGTATTCAAAAGACAGGTCAAGGTTTCTTGTATTGTTGTACATTCAGTCATATGAAGGATTCTGTTAGGTAGTGTATTTAAAAAAATAATAAAGTTAGATTCGGTTTTAGGTTTAACATTTATGTGATATAATTGTGAGAAACATTTAAGATATACAATTTATAAGGTTCAGTTATTCAGTATTTATTTGGTTTTGGGTGAGTAAGTGATCTTTGAGAAGAGATTTTGAATTATAAACAGGTAGTGTTTTTTTATATTTACAGGTAATGAATTCCAGATTTTAAGGGCCTTTTATGTGCATTGAGTTTTTGCATAGTGTGAGATGGACACGAGGAACATCAAGGAGGGGATCTGTGCCTTGTGTTAGGTCATGGGGTTCTGTTGGGGTGGCAAGGAGATGTTTGAGGGGAGGGTTAATATTAGAGTTAAGTGTTCTATGTATGTAATAGGTGCAGTAATAAGTATGGATGTTTTGTATGGTGAGTAGGTTTTGTGTATTGAATTTTTGGGGGAGTGTGCTGCCTGTAGTGAGAATTTGTTATCATTCTAACTGCAGCCTTTTGTTGGGTAATTAGTGGTCTGAGATTGTTAATTGTTGTTGAGCCCCATGCACAAATTCCATAGGTGAGATAGGGGTAAATAAGAGAGTGATATAGGGCCAAGAGGGCTGACTGTGGAACATAGTACCGCATCTTCGATAGTATGCCTACAGTCTTGGAAATTTTCTTAGAAATTTGTTGTATGTGTATGAAATTTGAGTCTATTATCAAGGTAGATTCCTAAGAATTTTCCCTTCTTCACATCTATGGTGTTTCTCACTTTATTTACCACAGGGGTACCACTAGCAAGTTTCTTTGGTCCCATGGTAGCTTATTTCACAGTCCCACAGGCACTAAACACAATGAAATAATAGTAAATGTTTGAATGAGAGCGCAGGTTAGTGTTCCCTCAAGCTTGATATCAACAAAGCCAGACTGGCTCACGGCGCCTGCGCGGGGACGCGGACAGAGCGGGCTGGTGGACAGGCCCGGTACTGGCGGTCCGAAAATAGGGGCGCATTCGATAATAGGGACCAAGTTGGTTTGAAAAAAGGATTCTCTTTTTGAAACATTCAATAAGTGATACGTTCAAAATTTGAGGTTCCACTGCATTAATAATGCCAGTAAATTTTGAATAGAATGATAGATTAAGACATACTTTACTTCAGCATGATACAATGTACAGAGGTAAATGACATTTTGGTGTGCATGCAGAAAGCCCAAATAATATGCAGAGCATTTCGGGCAAACTTTAAGACAATCTTAAGATTAATAAGGCATTGAGTACTTTTAAATACAGTCTTTTAGGTGGTTGTAGAAATAAATTTAGGAGTTACAATGAATACGAGAGAATTGAATATCCTATTACATGCTATATAGCTATATATAGTTATTTTCATATAGTCGGACTTGAGTCCTGGAAATGGGAAGTACAATGCCTGCACTTTAAAGGAGGGGTTTGGGATATTGGCAGTTTGAAGGGATATGTTGTGTATCTTTATGTGTATGCTTCTAAACTGTTGTATTCTGAGCACCTCTGCAAAAACAGTGATAATGTGTGAGTGTGGTGAAAGTGTTGAATGATGATGAAAGTATTTTCTTTTTGGGGATTTTCTTTCTTTTTTTGGGTCACCCTGCCTTGGTGGGAGACGGCCGACTTGTTGAAAAAAAAAATATATAACTTTTATTGTAGGTAGTAGGTTGGTAGACAGCAACTGCCCAGGGAGGTACTACCGTCCTGCCAAGTGAGTGTAAAACGAAAGCCTGTAATTGTTTTACATGATGGTAGGATTGCTGGTGTCTTTTGTCTCTCATAAATATGCAAGATTACAGGTACGTCTTGCTACTTCTACTTACACTTAGGTCACACTACACATACGTGTACAAGCATATACAGTGGACCCCCACTTAACGATCACCTCCCAATGCGACCAATTATGTAAGCGTATTTATGGAAGTGCGTTTGTACGTGTATGTTTGGGGGTCTGGAATGGACTAATCTACTTCACAATATTCCTTATGGGAACAAATTCGGTCAGTACTGGCACCTGAACATACTTCTGGAATGAAAAAATATCGTTAACTGGGGGTCCACTGTATATACTCACCCCTCTGGGTTTTCTTCTATTTTCTCTAATTCTTGTTTATATCCTCTTATCTCCATGGGGAAGTGGAACAGAATTCTTCCTCTGTAAGCCATGCGTGTCGTAAGAGGCGACTAAAATGCCGGGAGCAAGGGGCTAGTAACCCCTTCTGTATATATTACTAAATTTAAAAGGAGAAACTTTAGATTTTTCTTTTTGGCCACCCCACCTTAGTGGGATACAGCTGGTACGTTGAAAGAAGAATATAGCTTTTATAGAGTTTAATTGTTTTAAGAATTATGTGATGTGGACACTGCTTTAATGGTAGTGAGGATTACAGATATTGAGCCTAAGATTACAGCCTCTCCTCACTTAATGATGGAGTTCCGTTCCTAAGACCACGTTGTTAAATGAATTCTTTGCTAAGTGAAGAGCATACTATAATGGTAGTGAATTTGTGTCAATCATCTTTGATATTATTTTAATGTCACCTTTGCACCATTTATAACATTTCTGGTATATTTTTAAATGTTTATACTGTAGATTGAAATAAACAGAATAGAGGAAATCAGCTCGAGTATACATTATTTAGATATGAAAGCTGGTCAGAGAGCCCGTCATAAGTCCAAGGCGTCGGTAAGCAAGTGCGTCGCTAAGTGAGAAGAGGCCGTACGCATGTTGTTTTCCATATGTTTGTGACAATGAAAATATGGATATATAGTTTCCACATATTTTGCTGATGTTTTGATATGATTGGGAGTTTTTTTTTTTTTTAACAGTACTTTTGAAGTTGCTGGCTGAGAGTGGTTCTGGAGATATTGTAAAAGATAATGAAGTTCTTAATTGTGCAGGACATGTATTTTGAGGAATTTTTCCTGTTACCAATTTTGTCATAATAAATAAAATAATTGAATGAAATTTGGAATTGGTTAAATCACATTTTGTTAGAAAGACAAAGAAGAAAATGGTGAGGTGTTGTGGAATGCTTTTAGAAAGAAAGAGGAGTCTGTAAACTTTGTTTTACCTCTTTTCATCTTTATAACCTGAAAAGATTTAATGTAGTTTGAACCAAGCTTATATGGCATTTTGGGGGGCAGGACAATAATCAGGCAATTTGGTTGTATTTTTAACATGTATAAAACATTGTAGACATAGTATTGTACTATATTTTAAAAATTTCGTTGAAGAGCTGGTAGACTCCTGTTCTTTAAGTACATTTTTAATGAAATTAAGACACATGTGCAACATCTGGGTATCTTTATTGTAGACATTTCGCCATCCAGTGGCTTTATCAATACAAATTCCAGGACATAACTTGAAGACAGTAGGACTATGTAAAGAAGATGAGGTAATTAGTCCCTCAACCTTGGAGTAGGTGCGAAGAACACCATAGTCGTGGAGATTTTTTAATGCATATTTTTTTGCTTGCCTTAAGTAATTTTCTCTTCATTTTACAGAGTTGTGATTAATAAAGATGTTGGGAGCTCACTTGACCCGGTTGGGGGTGACCTCAGCACACCACATAGTTCACCCTCGCTATGTGCTAACCAAAGCGATGCAAATCACACGAATGGCACATTCCTCCTCTAGCATAGAATATCAACCCATCAAATCTGTTCTAGTTGCTAATAGAGGTATGTCACTGACAGTTATTTACATATGAATTTCAGTCTGAAATATAATTTAACAGATTGTAAGTATCTTCTTAGAAAAAAATAGCATTTAAGTGGTTTTTACAATGTAAAACTTCCCAAGTGCTGAGTCACCTTACCCAGCTGATTGGAGGATTTTTCTCAGTGAAAATAACTAGTACATGAGAAGTTTTTACAATGTAAAAGTTCCTCCTCCCCTAATGCTGGACCACCTTAGTGCAGTAGTTTGATTTAAATGTTTCATGCATAGGGGCAGGGACTACTTCTCTTGGAGGTATGCCACTGGCTAAGAACCCAGCATCTCTTGTGTATACATGATGGGGATATTTCCCCTTTCTTTTAAATTTGCTTACGTTTTTAATCATTACTTTGAAAAATAACACTTTCCTCAGCTATAATTTTTCTAGCACTCATAATATTAATTTTGCAGGTGAAATTGCTATAAGAGTCTTTAGAGCCTGCACAGAATTAGGCATTCGATCTGTTGCTGTATACAGTGAGCAAGATAAAATGCACATGCATAGACAAAAGGCAGATGAATCATACATCATTGGGCAAGGCCTTGCACCCGTAGATGCTTACCTATGTATCCCTGAAATTATCCGTGTGGCCAAGGTAAGAGAGAGTTTGTACACGTGACTAGGAATATTGACAGGATGTAAGCAGAAGTAGATCATAAAAACAAGTCGTTATTGTAGGGAAGGCATTGTTTGGTATGAGTTTTTATCCGTTAGTTACAAGGAATATAATACAGTAAAGTACTATTTTTTTTTTTTTTTTTTTTCCTCCAACAAGTCGGTCGTCTCCCACCGAGGCAGGGTGACCCAAAAAAGAAAGAAAATCCCCGAAAAGAAAATACTTCAATCATCATTCAACACTTTCACCACACTCCACATTACACTGTTTTTTTCAAGGTGCTCAGAATACAACAGTTTAGAAGCATATACGTATAAAGATACACAACATATCCCTCCAAACTGCCAATATCCCAAACCCCTCCTTTAAAGTGTAGGCATTGTATTCCCATTTCCAGGACTCAAGTCCCCACTATAGGAAAATAACCGGTTTCCCTGAATCCCTTCACTAAATATTACCCTGCTCACACTCCAACAGATCGTCAGGGCCCAAGTACCCTTGTCTCCATTCACCTCTATCTAACACGCTCATGCACGTTGCTGGGGAAAATCCAAGCCCCTTGCCCAAAAACCTCCTTTACCCCTCTTCCAACCCTTTCGAGACGACCCACCCCTCCCCTTTCCTTCCCCTATAGATTTATGCTTTCCATGTCATTCTACTTTGATCCATTCTCTCTAAAATGACCAAACCACCTCAACAACCCCTCTTTCCCTCTGACTAATCTTTTATTTAAATCCCCCCCTTTTTCCTAATTTCCACCTCCGAATTTTTTGCATAATATTTAAACACCACACATTCCCCTTAAACAGGACTCTCCACTGCCCCCAACCGCCCCCCTGCTGCTTTTACCCCCCAAGCTTCACCCCCCTATAAATGTTGGTATACTATACTTTTTATACATTCCCTTCTTTGCCCCCATAGATAACGTTTTTTGACTCCACATATACCTCAATGCACCAACCCCCTTTTTTCCCCCATCAATTCCCCATGATTAACCTCTCCTTCAAAAATCCATCCGCCACACGTCAACTCCCAATATCTGAAAAAACACTTCTTCCATACTCCCCTCCCCAATTTTATATCCAATTTTTCTTTTTCTAAATCATTTGACACCCTCATCACCCTTTCTCTTTTTTTTTCACTTTCAACTTTCTCCCTTTTCACACAATTTCCCAAACTCATCCCTAACCTTTTCAAATTTTTTTTTAGAATCTCCCATAAGCACAGTACATCACAAAAAATAAAGTGTCAAATTTCCCATTTTGAATTTTATTCCCCAAAATTTAAACCCCCCCCTCTCCCGAAACCCTAGCATTTTCTTCCTTTACAACCCCCCTCTATAAATAATTAAACAACCATGGGGGACATTAAACCCCCCTGTCTAAGCCTACTTTTACGGGGGAAATAGTCTCCCTCTCTTCTACACACCCTAACCGAGCCTCACTATCCCATAAAAACTCTTTACAGATTTTAAAAAACTTACCACCTAAAAAAAAATTTCCCTATACTTGCAACATCTGCCACATTGTCCTCTATCCACTCTATCATATGCCTTTTCTAAACCATAAATCAATAAAAACCCCTATCTTTATCTAAATATTTTTTAAATTTTTTTATTTTAAACCCCCGATTCCCACCCTCCCCAAAAGAAAAACTTTCACCCTTTTCCCCCATCCCGTCTTAAATCTTTCCTAATTTTTCAAAAATTTTAAAACCCCCCTTCAATCGGCCTGTATTACTCCCGGTAAGGGCCCCCCTTTAAACCCCCATAAAAAATTTTTAACCCAAACCAGTCTCCCTAAATTAAAAATTTTTTTCCCCCCTTTTTCCCCTTTTATAACCTAAATTTCCGGTATACTCAGAAGCTATTCCTCTATAATTTTACAGTTCTTTGTCCCCTTCCCTTATAAAAGGACTAACAGCCTCCCCAATCCCTAGGTACCTTCCCCTCTTTCATACATTTAATTTAAACAAAAAATACCCAAACCCCTCCAACACTATCCCCCCCTGCTTTTAACATTCTGTCATGATCCCATCATTCCAGCTGCTTTACCCCCTTTCATTCTACGTAATGCCTCACTACCTCTACCACACTTGCATTTTGCTCTTCTTCACTCCTAAAAGATGGTATACCTCCCTGGCCATGCATGAAATTACCGCCTCTCTTTTTTCCTCAACATTTAAAAGTTCCTCAAAATATTCCGCCATCTACCAAATACCTCCCTCTCCCCATCTACTAATCCCCTACTCTGTTTTTTAACTGACAAATCCATCTTTCCCTGGCTTTCTTAACTTGTTAACTTTTTTCCAAAATTTTTTTTTTATTTTCATTAAAATTTCTTGACGTGCCTCTCCCACTCTTTCTCTGCTCCCTTTTGCACTCTCACCACACTTTTCACCTTTCTTTTACTCTCCATATACCTGCTCTTCTTATAAACTTCGCTTTGTAAAAACCTCTCATAATACCTTTTTCTTTTTTATCCACCCCTTTATTTCATCATTCACCATCATCCCTTTCCCCCCTATAAAAAAAATTTCCCCCCACATTCTAAACGCTTTTTAAAAATTTTTCCCAAACCCCTCTTCAACCCCCCACTACTCACTTTGCAAAAGCCCCCTTTTCTGCCAACAGCGCTTATACCCCCCCCAACTTCCTCCTCCCTTATTTTATCACTTTCACCCCCCCTCTTCTTTTTTGCCCCCTTCCCTCTTTTTCCCTCTCCCTCTAACCTAACGTAGCTACAACTAAATAATGATCCGATATATCAGTTCCCCCTCATAAACTTGTACATCCTGGAGCCTACCCATCAACCTTTTATCCACCAATACATAATCTAACAAACTACTTTCTTACGTGCTACATCATACCTTTGTATATTTATTTATCCTCTTTTCAAAAAATATGTATTACTTATTACCAAATTTCTTTCTACACATAGCTCAATTAAAGGCTCCCCCATTTACATTTACCCCTGGCACCCCAAATTTACCTACTACTCCCTCCATAAATTTTTACCCACTTTAGCATTGAAATCCCCAACCACCCTTACTCTCACACTTGATTCAAAACTCCCCCTGCATTCACTCAACATTCCCAGGGTCTTTTCCCCTCCTCTACACTTCTCTCTTCTCCAGGGGCATACTCAACTTACTATAACCCACTTTCACATCCAATCTTTATTTTACTCCACATAATCCTTGAATTTATACATTTGTTTGTCCCTCTTTTCCTGCCATAGCTTATCCTTCAACATTATTTGCTACTCCTTCTTTAGCTCAAAATCTATTTGAAACCCTGACCTAATCCCATTTATTCCTCTCCATTGAACTCTCCCACCCCCTTCAGCTTTGTTTCACTTAAAGCCAGGACATCCAGTTTCTTCTCATTCATAACATCCACAATCATCTCTTTTTTATCATTTGCACAACATCCACGCACATTCAAAACTTCCCACTTTGACAATTTTCTTCTTCTTATTCTTTTTAGTAATCTTTACAGGAAAAGGGTTACTAGCCCATTTTTTCCCGGCATTTTAGTTGACTTTACAACACGCATGCCTTACGGAGGAAAGATTCTTATTCCACTTCCCCATGGATATAAAAGGAAAAGTAATAAGACCAAGAACTATTTATTTATTTATTTATTATCACACTGGCTGATTCCCACCAAAGCAGGGTGGCCCGAAAAAGAAAAACTTTCCCCATCTTCCCTCCATCCTGCTTGCCAAAAGGGTGTTTACACTACATTTTAAACTGCAACAAAAACACCCCTCTTCAGAGTGCAGGCACTGTACTTCCCATCTCCGGGGTCTTAAGCCGGCCTCCCGGTTTCCCTGAACCCCTTATAATGTTACTTTGCAACTCCAACAGAAACGTCAAATTAAAAACCATTCTCCCATTCACTCCTATAAACACCTCACGCCCGCCTGGGGAAGTCCAAGCCCCTCGCCACAAAACCTCCCTTTCCCCCCCTCCAACCTTTCCTGGGCCGACCCCACCCGCCTTCCTTCCACACAGACTGATACACTCTTAAAAAATTTTTCTTTTTTCCTCCATTCTCTCTACTGTCCAACCCCCTCAAAACCCCTTCCTCACCCTTGGCAACAGTTTTGGGAAATCCCGACCTCCAAACTTCCAACACGAATTCTCTGCTTTATATTCACACCACCATGCCCTCAGACAGACATCTCCACTGCCCCCCAGCCTTCCCCTCGCTGCAACATTCATCACCCATGCTTCCACACCCATATGAGAGTGTTGGTAAAACTATACTCTCATACATTCCCCTCTTTGCCTCCAAGGACAAAGTTCTTTGTCTCCACAGACTCCTAAGTGCACCACTCACCCTTTTCCCCTCATCAATTCTGTGATTCACCCCCATCCTTCATAATTTCATCCGCTGACACGTCCACCCCCAAAATTTATCTGAATACATTCACCTCCTCCATACTCTCTCCCTCCAATCTGATATCCAATCTTTCATCACCTAATATTTTTGTTATCCTCATAACCTTACTCTTTCCTGTATTCACTTTTAAATTTTCTTCTTTTGCACACCCTCCCAAATTCATCACCAATCTCTGCCACTTCTCTTCAGAATCCCCCAAGAGCAGTGTCATCAGCAAAGAGCAACTGTGACAACTCCCACTTTGGTGTGATTTTTTTATCTTTTAACTCCACGCCTCTTGTCAAGACCCTCGCATTTACTTCTCTTACAACCCCATCTATAAATATATTAAACAACCACGGTGACATCACACATCCTTGTCTAAGGCCTACTTTTACTGGGAAATAATTTCCCTCTTTCCTACATACTCTAACTTGAGCCTCACTATCCTCGTAAAAACTCTTCACTGCTTTCAGTAACCTACCTCCTACACCATACACCTGCAACATCTGCCACATTGCCCCCCTATCCACCCTGTCATACGCCTTTTCCAAATCTATAAATGCCACAAAGACCTCTTTAGCCTTGTCTAAATACTGTTCACTTATATGTTTCACTGTAAACACCTGGTCCACACAACCCCCTACCTTTCCTAAAGCCTCCTTGTTCATCTGCTATCCTGTTCTCCGTCTTACTTTTAATTCTCTCAATAATAACTCTACCATACACTTTACCAGGTATACTCAACAGACTTATCCCCCTATAATTATCCCCCTATAATTTTAAGATAAAATCAAAGAAAACTCAGATGAGTGTGTATAAATAAACGTGTACATGTATGTGTAGTGTGACCTAAGTGTAAGTAGAAGTAGCAAGACATGCCTGTAATCTTGCATATTTATGAGACAAAAGACACCAGCAATCCTACCATCATGTAAAACAATTACTGGCTTTCGTTTTACACTCACTTGGCAGGACGGTAGTATCTCCCTGGGTGGTTGCTGTCTACCAACCTACTACCATATATACTACTATATATGGTTATATATACTGTACAATAATGTACGAGGATGACATGTTAGTGAATAATGACAGTGACCCAGGAAATTAATCCTGAAAGTGAAAGATACACAGAAGACAGTGACTAGAAGTGGCTGTAATTCACAGTAGACACCAGTAAACATACATGAGAGGCAAACTCATACTATGTTAACGTCAACTGTCCCTCAAGCTAAATTAGGAGCTATGGTTGTTGGAAAAAACATCAGTACCCAAGTGCTTCCTCAACTTTCTTTCCACATTGGTCATTTTCTGTGCCCTAAAACACAGCCATTTAGTCACCTCTGTTCTAACTGGATATGAGCTCATTTTTTTTTGGCATTTCTTTTAATTGACCTGCTGAAGCCAGGCCTGAGTTAAATGTTTGCAATAAAAGTATGTATTTGTAGCAGTTTTATTCATTTTGTTAATATGTGAATAGTAGTAAGTTGAGAGCTTTTAGGATTAAAAATAGTAATAATAATAGCAATGAAGTATTGATAAATAATACAATTATTAAAGTTCTCCCTAGCATTTTTTTTTTTTTTTTAAAGAATTCACAAATGCAGAATGGGCTAGATGCCTAGTTTCATCCCGTCTTAAGGGCATAAGTAAATTTTAAGTACTGTACAGGTAAAGTAAAATGTGGACTACAGTATAGTATTTAATAAAAGTGCATTATGGTTTAATAATTTTTTACAAAGGTAAATACAAGGTGATGAGGGTATCAAATGATTTAGATAAAGAAAAATTGGATATCAAATTGGGGAGGAAGAGTATGGAAGAAGTGAATGTTTTCAGATACTTGGGAGTTGACGTGTCGGCGGATGGATTTATGAAGGATGAGGTTAATCATAGAATTGATGAGGGAAAAAAGGTGAGTGGTGCGTTGAGGTATATGTGGAGTCAAAAAACGTTATCTATGGAGGCAAAGAAGGGAATGTATGAAAGTATAGTAGTACCAACACTCTTATGTGGATGTGAAGCTTGGGTGGTAAATGCAGCAGCGAGGAGACGGTTGGAGGCAGTGGAGATGTCCTGTTTAAGGGCAATGTGTGGTGTAAATATTATGCAGAAAATTCGGAGTGTGGAAATTAGGAGAAGGTGTGGAGTTAATAAAGGCATTAGTCAGAGGGCAGAAGAGGGGTTGTTGAGGTGGTTTGGTCATTTAGAGAGAATGGATCAAAGTAGAATGACATGGAAAGCATATAAATCTATAGGGGAAGGAAAGAGGGGTAGGGGTCGTCCTCGAAAGGGTTGGAAAGAGGGAGTAAAGGAGGTTTTGTGGGTGAGGGGCTTGGACTTCCAGCAAGCGTGCATGAGCGTGTTAGATAGGAGTGAATGGAGACGAATGATACTTGGGACCTGACGATCTGTTGGAGTGTGAGCAGGGTAATATTTAGTGAAGGGATTCAGGGAAACCGGTTATTTTCATATAGTCGGACTTGAGTCCTGGAAATGGGAAGTACAATGCCTACACTTTAAAGGAGGGGTTTGGGATATTGGCAGTTTGGAGGGATATGTTGTGTATCTTTATACATATATGCTTCTAAACTGTTGTGTTCTGAGCACCTCTGCAAAAGCAGTGATAATGTGTGAGTGTGGTGAAAGTGTTGAATGATGATGAAAGTATTTTCTTTTTGGGGATTTTCTTTCTTTTTTGGGTCACCCTGCCTCGGTGGGAGACGGCCGACTTGTTGAAAAAAAAAAAATACAAGTGTATGAGATATAACAATTATGAAGCATGGATTATAAATTGCAAATTAATAACAGAAAAGCTTGTAATATACAGTGGAACCTCAAATATCGAACTTTCTTCGGTCCAGAAGGCTGTTTGAGTGCCTTTACCGAATGAATTTATTCCCATCAGGAATAATGTAAATTCGATTAGTCCATTTCAGACCCTCAAAAATACACTTATAAAAGCACTTACAAAAATACACTTACATAATTGGTTGTGTTGGGAGCAGTTCGATTTTTGAGGTTCCACTGTACATACTTCTCTCGTTCATTAATTTAAAATACTATATCTCTTCTAATTGTCTGCATAAACAGAATTAAAGGAAAACATAATTAAGGCTGATTATAGTACATTTATTCTGCATTTCTAGGAGAATGACGTAGATGCTATCCATCCTGGTTATGGCTTTCTTTCCGAGCGCTCAGACTTTGCACAAGCTTGTTATGATAATGGTGTACGTTTCATTGGTCCATCACCAGAGGTTGTGCAAAAGATGGGAGATAAGGTGGCTGCTAGACAGATGGCAATCAATGCAGGTATGTAAGCATAGTACAGTGGACCCCTGCTTAACGATCACCACCCAATGCGACCAATTATGTAAGTGTATTTATGCAAGTGCGTTTGTACGTGTATGTTTGGGGGTCTGAAATGGACTAATCTACTTCACAATATTCCTTATGGGAACAAATTCGGTCAGTACTGGCACCTGAACATACTTTTGGAATGAAAAAATATCGTTAACCGGGGGTCCACTGTACATTTGTCAATGCCAGTATGAATATATCCTTCCCACCACTAAATGAAGTTTCATTTAATTTTTATATCTTAACATGTGTTAAGTGTTGAGCAGAATTGCTCATAGACTAACATAAGTGGATAATGCGTACTATAGTTAAATATTTAAGAATGTTGTAAATTGTTTCTAACTTGTAATTTAATATAATTATTGAACTATCTGTAATTGGTAACTAATCTTTTATTGTAATTTCATAAACTGCCAATTAGTTTTTAACCCATTGAGGGTCTGTCCCGTAGTTTTATGGCTTTGAAGCCAGGGTCCAGGCCGTTGTACTATTGTCATGAGCTCAGCTCGCTCGGATAAGCTGTGAGCAGTAAATTTGGGCCTAGATATGAGAGAATGCATCTATGTAGCAAGTGTGCACCATATAAAACAAATCTTGCAGCAAGCAGTGTCTATTGAGAAAAAACAGACTTTGCAGTGTACAGTGGACCCCCGCCTTACAAACGCATCGCGTTACGTTAAATCTGCCATACGAAGCATTTGAACGCAAAAATTTTGCTTTGCCTCACGATAAAAATCTCGCCTTGCGTGATTCGTCCAGGACGCGTCCCACGTGTGGCTTCAGCTGCCCCGTGGGTGCCAGCGTTTACAAGCCAGCCAGTGCGGTCGCATCTAAGCATACATTCGGTACATTTCATATTATCAGTGTTTTTAGTGCTTGTAACTGCAAAATAAGTCACCATGGACCCCAAGAAAGCTTCTAGTGCCATCCCTGTGGTAAAAAGGGTGAAAGTTACTATGGAAATGAAGAAAGAGAGAATTGCTAAGTACGAAAGTGGAGTGCGTGTCTCGGAGCTGGCCAGGTTGTATACCAAACCCCAATAAACCATCGCTACTATCTTGGCCAACAAAACGGCAATCAAGGAAGCTGTTCTTGCAAAAGGTGCAAGTTTGTTTTCGAAACAGAGATCACAAGTGATAGAAGATGTTGAGAGACTGTTATTGGTGTGGATAAACGAAAAACAGATAGTAGGAGATAGCATCTCTCAAGCAATCATATGTGAAAAGGCTAGGAAGTTGCATGACGATTTAATTAGAAAAATGCCTGCAACTAGTGGTGATGTGAGTGAATTTAAGGCCAGCAAAGGTTGGTTTGAGAGATTTAACCCTTTGAGGGTCGACAGGCCCTCTCCGAGACTCGTTCTCAGGGTCGGCTAAATTTAAAAAAAAAAAAAAATTCTTATGAAAAGATAGAGAATCTTTTCCCGATCATAATGACACCAAAAATATGAAATTTGATGGAAAACTTAGGAATTATGCTCTCGCGAAGTTAGCGGTCTCAGCGATGTTTACGGATCGGCGATTTTGCCCAATTTGAGCCCCATTTTCGGCCAGTTCCACTGTACTAGTCGACAAAAAACATGAATATTTCGCTAGAACTCCATTTTTTCTATTGAATGAGTGCAAGAAACCACCCATTTACCAATTTCAACTATCCAGTACAGTGGTCAGAATTTAGCAATTTTGCCAATTTCACACAAATTTCAAAAGATGCCAATTTCCGAATAGGGTCCAGAACAAACAAGAAATACATTCCTGGCACTAAAATGACATTTCCTCTGTTCATTAGTCACGTCTCAAGGCCCCTCTTACATTCTTTTGCTTTCCACTTTGAATTTTTATTCTCACAAAAAATAGATTTACTGTTATGCAGACTACTGCATTAGTGTAAAAAATGGTATGAATCATATTGGCGCACTTGCAAAAGAATATTACTCACCAGTTGACGTGTATTGGACGCTTGGCATGATTTGTTTACTTTTGAACTTTGGTAAAAATCAAACATTTCTGCTAATTTGAGCTCAATTTCAAGGTACTTTTCATTGTAAAACCAGTCAGAATCATCTCAGTTTCTATGATATGCCTTCCATTCTATAAAATGAGACCAAGAAAACTAGAATACAACAATAAATACCATACGAAAATACAGTGCAAAGTCGCTGTTTTATTCCAAAAAAAACGTTCAGTTTTTTTTTCTCATTATGCACTGTGTGCTGCAGGATTTTTTTTATACCGTGCACACTGACCACATAGACCCATTCTTTCATATGGAGGCCTACCAGCTTTCTCCCACTAGATTTGAGGGCGCTTGAATTTAGGCGTACTAGTACGTCAAAAACCCTGGGTCGTAAGCCGTACTAGTACGTCCGAAACCCTCAAAGGGTTAAGAATCGTAGTGGCATACATAGTGTGATAAGGCAAGGTGAGGCTGCCAGTTCGGACCAAAAAGCAGCTGAAAAAATATGTGAAGGAATTCAAGGAGTACATACAGTGAAGAACAAGTGTTTAATTGTGACAAAACAGGCCTGTTTTGGAAGAAAATGCCAAGCAGGGCCTACATTACTCAGGAGGAAAAGGCACTCCCAGGACATAAGCTTATGAAAGACAGGCTTACTCTTTTGATGTGTGCTAATGCTAGTGGTGATTGCAAAGTGAAGCCTTTATTGGTGTATCACTGAAACTCCCAGAGTGTTCAGGCAAAACAATGTCCTCAAGGCTAATTTGTGTGTGCTGTGGAGGGCAAACAGTAAGGCATGGGTCACTAGGGACTTTTTCTATGAGTGGTTACAACATGCATTTGTCCCCACTGTGAAAAATTACGTAATGGAAAAGAAATTGGACCTTAAGTGCCTCCTGTATTAGACAATGCTCCTGGTCATCCTTCAGACTTGGCAGAGCGACTTTCTGGGGACATGAGCTTCATTAAGGTCAAGTTTTTGCCTCCTAATACCACTGCTTTCCTGCAGCCCATGGACCAGCAGGTCATTTCAAACTTCAAAAAGCTCTACACAAAAGCTGTGTTTCAAAAGTGCTTTGAAGTGACCTCAGACACTTGATTGACTATAAGAGAATTTTGGAAAGATCACTTTAGTATCCTCAGTTGTGTAAACTTTATAGGTAAGGCTTGGGACGGTGTGACTAAGAGGACCCTGAACTCTGCTTGGAAGAAACTGTGGTCACAATGTGTAGAAGAAAGGGATTTTGAAGGGTTTGGGGCTAACCCTGAGAAGCGTATGCCAGTTGTGGAATCCAGTGTGGCATTGGGGAAGTCCTTGGGGTTGGAGGTTAGTGGGGAGGATGTAGAAGAGTTGGTGGAGGAGGACAATGAAGAACTAATCACTGATGAGCTGCAAGATCTTCAACAGCAAAAGGCCAGACCTGAGGAAACTGCTTCAGAGGAGGGGAGAGAGAAATTGAGGAAGTTGCCTACTTCAAAGATTAAGGAAATGTTTGCAAAGTGGGTTGAACTGCAAACCTTTACGGATGAAAATCACCGACACAGCTACTGCAAGCCGTTTTGGCAACCTGTACAATGACAATGTTATGGCCCATTTTAGGAAAGTCTTAAAGGAACAGGAGGTACAGAGCTCTATGGACAGATTTGTTGTGCGAGAGAGGTCCAGTGACTCAAGCTGGTTTTAGTGGCATTGAAAGGAGGAGGGAAGTAACCCCAGAAAAGGACTTGCTACCTCAAGTCCAAATGGAAGGGGATTCCCTTTCTAAACAATAACTTCCACGCTCTCCCCTGCTCCCATCTCATCAGTCATCACCAGATCTTCAATAAAGGTAAGTGTCATGTATTCTATTCTTAGTAGCATAGTAATTGTGCATGTCTTCTTCAGTTTGTGTATTAAAATTAATATTTCATGTGGTAAAAAAATTTTTTTTTTTTCATACTTTGGGGTGTCGGGAACGGATTAATTTGATCCCCATTATTTCTTATGGGGAAATTAATTCGGCTAACAATAATTTCGGCTTACGATGAGCTCTCAGGAATGGATTAATATCGTAAGGCGGGGGTCCACACATTTTCATATGAAAATAGCTCGAAATTGAGCTCAAAGTAGTGGAAATGTTCGATTTTTGCCGACATTCAGGAGAACAAATAATATGCATCCAATTCATATCAGCTGATGGGTCTAATGTGAGTTCATGAATGCACTGATATTATTTATACAATTATTACAATATTGCATAACAGGAAAGCTTATTTTTTTGGTGTGAGTAAACAATCAAAATGGAATTCATCTGTAATGCCTGGAAACATAACTAACAAACAGAGGAAATGTTATTTTAGTGCCAGGAATGCCCACATTGTTTATTCTGGATCCCATTTTGAAATTAGAATATTTTAAACTTTGTGTGAAATTGGCCAAATTACCAATTTCTAGTCACTTTATTGGGTAGTTGAAATAGTTGATTGGGCAATTTCTTTTGCTCAATAGATGAAATAGAACACGTACTAGTGAAATAGCTAAGAATTTGGTCTAATGGAATAGCGTAATTGACCGAAAATAGGACTCTGTGGGCAAAATCGCGGGTGCATAAATATTGCTGATATGGCAAAATTCGTGGGTGTAATTTAATCAGTTTTTGATCAAATTTTGTACATTTTGTTTTATTACCTTCAGAAAAAGATTCTCTACCATTTTCATAAGAAGAAAATTTTTTTTTTTATTCTTGGACCCTGTGGGGAATTTTCAGATTGGGGGCCTGGACCCTCAAAGGCTTAATTTTTAATGAATCTTGTAATTTGAAATTTTAGCTTTAATACTTTGTACTAGACCCATAAGCATTACCCCCACAACTGTGTAGGCTTTTAATGTTAGTCTGTTTGCCCAAAATGTTGTGTATACAAGGGCTTTTTCCTATTGTACAGTATTATTTATGTTATTCATTGCTATTTGCTATAATTTTTTTTTTTTTAAATCTCTAGGTGTTCAGGTTGTCCCAGGAACTGACGAACCAGTAACAACAACTGAAGCAGCATATAATTTCTGTGTTAAATATGGGTTACCTGTCATGCTGAAAGCTGCTTATGGAGGTGGAGGGCGTGGTATGAGAGTCGTTAGGGAGTTGGCAGTGAGTTCCTGTCATATTCCTCAGTAACCTTGGATAAGATTTTGTGTGTAATGAAGAAGGTATTCATCTTAGAACAGTGTAGTCATAACTGTACAGATAGTATATATCTCAGTGATATTCCAGCATTATTGATATAATCTACAGTATATACATATGTATAGCTGTTATTTGTATATGATGATAATTTGCCTCTTGTATACTACGTAGGATGTAAAAGAAAGTTTTCGTCTAGCATCTTCTGAGGCCGAAGCAGCATTTGGAAATGGTGCCATGTTCATAGAAAAGTTCATTGAAAAGCCTCGCCACATTGAACTTCAGGTTTTGGGAGATAAGGCTGGAAATGTTGTACATCTGTTTGAGCGTGACTGCTCTGTACAGCGCAGACATCAAAAACTGGTGGAAGTAGCTCCAGCTCCCAACCTGGATCAAAAGGTAAAATAAAAGTCTCTTTTTTTAAGTTATGCTTTATCAAATTGATGCTGAATTTCTAGATAATTTTTGGCTACCACATGACATTTGTTAAATTTGTATAACTATGGTAATTTTTTACCTCTCAAATTTTCATGCATTTCATATGTTTTAATTCACTGCAAATACATATTATACTTTTGTATTGTCATTTCACTTCATTAAATTTTGCTTGCTGTGTTCTTGATTTTTTAGTACAGATGGGCCCCGCTTTACAGTGCTTTGCTTTATGGTGTTTCACTAATGTAGCGGTTTTCAGTTATTCCTATTCTCTTGTCAATGTATTCACCACTCGCTGTAAGTTACGGATGAAAATATTGTACTGCTCCATAACCTATATCAATATGGAGTAAGAATTAGTATTAGTCTGTCCGAAATGTCTAGGCATGCTAGTGGCCTTCTTTGTAATTAATACTTTATAACTTGTAAACCACACATTGTAAGATTTACAAGGAAATAAACATTTAAGGTAAGTAATGTATGCTTGTCGTAAGAGGTGACTAAAATGCCAGGAACAAGGGACTAGTAACCCTTTCTCTTGTATGTAATACAGTGGACCCCCGGTTTACGATATTATTTCATTCCAGAAGTATGTTCAGGTGCCAGTACTGAACGAATTTGTTCCCATAAGGAATATTGTGAATTAGATTAGTCCATTTCAGACCCCTAGACATACATGTACAAACGCACTTACATAAATACACTTACACAATTGGTCGCATTGGGAGCTGATCGTAAAGCGGGGGTCCACTGTATTACTAAATGTAAACAGAGAAACTTTCGTTTTTTATTTTGGGCCTCCCTGCTTTGGTGGGATATGGCCGGTGCGTTGAAAAAAAAAAAGTAATGTATGTACGGTGCAGTGGTCCCTCGATAATCGTAAGGCTCAATAGTCGTAATTTTCTATAATTGTAATGTTATTTTTGTCAAAACATTGGCTCGCGAATCGTCGTTTGACTCGCAAATCGTCGTTCGTCTGGGATGTGTACACATGGCTCTGAGCCACCTCGCCCTCCCTTCCCAGCCAGTGTGCCATTGTTTACCAGTGAGCGACGGTCCCCTCACTTGTTCATACGAAATATTTCGTAATATTCCATTCATTTTAGTGCTTGCAACTGCTAAATAAGCTACCATGGCTCCAAAGAAAGCTCCTAGTGCCAGGCCTTTGGTAAAGAAGGTAAGAAATACGATTGAATTCAAGAAAAACATTGAACAATATGAAAGTGGCGTATGTGTGGCAGAACTGGCCAGGATGTATAACAAACCCCATACAACTACAGCTTCCATCGTGGCCAGGAAAAAGGAAATCAAGGAAGCTGTTGTTGCAAAGGGGTTAAATATGCTAACAAAAATGAGATCACCAATACTCGAAGATGTTGAGAAGTTATTATTGGTGTGGATAAACGAGAAACAATTAGCAGTCGATTATTTGTGAAAAGGCTAGGGAGTTGCATGACAATCTCGTAAAGAAATTGCCTGCAACAAGTACTGATATTGGTGAATTTAAGGCCAGCAAAGGCTGGTTTGAGATATTTAAGAACCGTAGTGGCATACACAGTGTGAAAAGGCATGGCAAGGCTGCCAGTTCGGACAAAATTGCAGCTACAAAATTTGTAAGTGAATTCAAGGAGTACATAGAGGCTGAAGGACTGAAACCTGAGCAAGTGTTCAATTGTGACGAAACAGGCCTCTTTTGGAAGAAAATGCCAAAGAGGACCTACATTACTCAGGAGGAAAAGGGACTGCCAGGACACAAGCCTATGAAAGGCTGATGCTCATGTTCTGTGCTAATGCTAGTGGGGATTGCAAAGTGAAGCCGTCACTAGTGTACCATTCTGAAAACCCCAGAGTGTTCAGAAAAAAACAATGTTATGAAGAGTAAATTGTGTGGGTTTTGTAAAGCTAATAATAAGGCATGGGTCATGAGGGAAATTTTCGTCAAATGGTTCAATGAAGTGTTTGGCCCTGGTGTGAAGAATTACTCCTGGAAAAGAAATTGGATCTCGAGTGCCTCCTGCTAATGGACAGTGCACCTGCTCATCCTCCAAACTTGGATGGCCTAATTCTGGAAGAGTTTGGGTTCATCACAGTATAGTTCTTGCCCCCTAATACCACTCCTCTCCTCCAGCCCATGGACCAGCAGGTCATTTCAAACTTCAAAAAACTCTACACCAAAGCAATGTTTTAAAGTTGCTTTAATGTGACCTCAGACACTTGCTTGACCCTAAGAGAGTTTTGGAAAGATCACTTCAGTATCCTCCATTGCATAAGCCTTATAGGTAAGTAAATAAATAACAAAAAGGCACAATACCGTGACTGGAACGATACACAAATAACCCGCACATAAAAGAGAGAAGCTTATGACGACGTTTCGGTCCGATTTGGACCATTGACTTTGTCAATGGTCCAAATCGGACCGAAACGTCGTCGTAAGCTTCTCCCTTATAGGTAAGGCTTGGGAGGGAGTGACTACCAGGACTTTGAACTTTGCTTGGAGAAAATTGTGGCCAGATTGTGTCCACAAGTGGGATTTTGAAGGGTTTGGGGCTGACCCTGATGAGCCTATGACAGTTGTGAAATCTATTGTGGCATTGGGGAGTTCCATGGGGTTGGATGTGAGCTTGGAGAATGTGGAAGAGTTGGTGGAGGACCACAACGAAGAGCTAACCACTGAAGGGCTGCAAGAGCTTCAGCAGGAACAGCAACAGATCACAGCTCAGAATTTTGCTGCATAGGAGGAAGAAGAGAGATGGAAGAAGTTGCCTTCTTCAGAAATTAAGGAGATTTTTGAAATGTGGGGCAAGATGGAAAGATTTATGGAGAAACATCACCCTGACAAGGCTGTTGCAAGCCATGTCGGTAACATGTACAGTGACAGTCTTGGCCCATTTTAGGGAAGTTTAAAGAGATGCCAGAAACTGAGCTCTCTGGACAAGTATTTAGTGCCACAGGTGTACAGTGACTCTCAAGCTGGTCCTAGTGGCATTAAGAAACAGAGAAGAGAGGTAACCACAGAAAAGCACTTGGTACCTGAGGTGTTGATGGAAAGGGATTTCCCTCCCAAACAGTAACTAATCCAATCTCTATCCTCCTCCAGTCTTCCATACACTAAGAAGAATCGCCAGTAAAGGTAAGTGTTATGCTGTTAATGTTTCATTCAACATGTCCCATTGTATTGTGTATGTACTACATCTATATTTCATGTAAAAAAATTTTTTGTTTTAATACTTTTGGGTGTCAGGAATGGATTAATTGTATTTACATTGTTTCTTATGGGGAAAATATTCTAAAATCACCATTTTCAATAATAGTCACCCTTCCAGGAACGGATTAATTACGAAAAATGAGGGACCACTATATGTGCACTTTTAAGGCCTAGCTCTGTTGCTTACTTAATATGTGATAGTGTAAACATGTTATTAGGCTTTTATATGCATTTGAAAGTGAAAAATTCTGATTCGCTTTACAGTGGTAACCCGGAACCTAACCTGCTATGAGCGGGGCCTGCCTATGTACTGTTTTCAGGAACGTAGCTATCATGTTAATAGTCTACATTTTTCACTATGTAAAAATGAAAATGTATTTTTCATGAGATTATTCTTTGATATAATACTGTAATATATAATTCTTTGAACAGGTTCGTGAAGCAATGGCAGCTGATGCTGTTAAACTGTGCAAAAGTGTAAACTATGAGAACGCTGGCACTGTAGAATTTTTACTTGATAATCGAGGAAATTATTATTTTATAGAAGTAAATGCTCGCCTTCAGGTTGAACATACTGTCACAGAGGAAATCACTGGGTAAGTCAGAGATGGATTTTGGCTACTAAATTAACTTGAAAATCAGTCTCTCTCTCTCCCCCCTTCCCTCCCCCCCCCAGTTTGAAAGCTTAGAAAATTATGCTTTAGCATGTAAAGTGCTTTATTTTTTTTTTTTATTAATTTGAACATGATACTGAGAAGTACGAAGGAATACAGTAATTAACCCTTTCAGGGTCCAAGGCCCAAATCTGGAGTCACGCACCAGTGTCCAAGAATTTTCAAAAAAAAATTTTTTTATTTTTTCTTATGAAATCGTAGAGAATCTTTTTGTGAAGGTAATAAAACAAAAAGTACGAAATTTGGTGGAAAATTGACGAAATTATGCTCTCGCGAATTTTGATGTGTCAGCGATATTTACGAATCGGCGATTTCGCCGACTTTGACTCCCATTTTAGGCCAATTACATTATTCCAATCAACCAAATTCTTAGCTATTTCACTAGTATTACTTCTATTCTATCGATTGAGCACAAGAAATTGCCAAGTCAACTGTTTCAACTACAAAATAAAGTGATCGGAAATTGTTAATTTGGCCAATTTAACACAAAGTTCAAAATATTCCAATTTCAAAATAGGGTCCAGAATGAACAATGTAGGCATTCCTGGCACTAAACTAACATTTCCTCTGTTCATTAGTTATGTTTTGAGGCTTTACAAATAAATAACATTTTGATTTTTTATTCACATAATGAATTTTTATTCACACCAAAAAATAGAAGATTTACTGCTATGCAATACTGTAATAATTGTATAAATATCATCACCATATTTGTGAATGTATATTAGACCCACCAGCTGGCGTGTATTAGACGTGTGAGGTCGTTTGTTTACTCTTGAATATCAGCAAAAATTTAACATTTCTGCTACTTTGAGCTCAGTTTCAAGCCATTTCCAGTGCTAAAACCAATCAAAATCATCTCTATTTCTGTAATATGTCTTCCATTCTATCAAATGAGACCAAGAAATCGCAAATACAACTATAAAAAACATACGAAAAAACACTGCAAAGTTGCTGTTTTAATCGAAAAATCATGATTTCATTTTTTTTCTCTCATTATACACAGTGTGCTGCAGGATCTGTTTTATGTGGTGCACACATACCACATAGATGTATTCTCTCATATCTAGGCCCAAATGTACCACTCACAGTTTATCAGAGTGAGCTGAGCTCATGGCGTAGATCTACGGTTTGGACCCTGAACGTAAAGCCGTAGATCTACGGGACGGACCCTGAAAGGGTTAAGTGTAACATGCCAAAGCCCCTTGTATGCAGAGCATTATGGGCAGGCTTAAAGTTAACTTAAAATTAACTAAGCAATGATATATTCAGTGGTAAAACATTATTGTAAACAGATTACAATTAAGCACAAATGAGTATTACAAAGACAGGTCAAGGTCATATGGTCATTTACTGTGTTGCTATGCATTCAGTAGAATGGAGTATTCAGTTAGGTAATGTAATGAAAAATAACAAAGTTTGATTGGGTCATAGGTTAAACATTTATGAGATACAATTATGAGAAACATTTGTGAGATAAATTTATATATGAAGGTTCTATGCCATTATCATTTGGTGTAGTCTAGCCTCGTTTACACCACTGGACTTGAAGCTAGTGGTTAAATATTAACCCCTTGACTGTCGCAACCCCAAATCCTGAGGTGTCTCCTGGTGTCGCAAAATTTCCCCCCCAAAAAAAATTCTTGTGAAATGATAGAGAATCTTTTCCCGATTGTAATGACACCAAAAGAACGAAATTTGATGGAAAACTGATGGAATTACGCTCTCGCGAAGTTAGCGACCTCGGCAATATTTACGAATCGGCGATTTCGCCCACTGAGCCCTATTTTCAGCTAATTCCATTGGTCCAGTCGACCAAACTCATAGCTATTTCTTTAGAACTCCATTTTTTCTATAGATTGAGTACAAGAAACTGCCCATTTACCGATTTCAACTACCCAATAATGTAGTCAGAAATTTGCAATTTGGCCAATTTCACGAAAATTAAAAAATATGACAATTTCAAAATAGGGTCCAGAATGAACAATGCAGACATTCCTGGCTCTAAAATAACATTTTCTTTGTTCATCAGTCACGTCTCCAGGCCCCTCTGATATTACTCTTGCTTTCTATTTTGAATTTTTATTCAAACAAAAAATAGGAGATTTGCTGTTATTCAGAGTACTGCAATATTGTAATAATTGTATAAATAATGTCAACCCATTCATGACTGCATATTAGAATGGCTACTTGGACATTTATTGGAAAATGACATTTGTTTACTTTTGAACATCGGCAAAAATCAAACATTACCCCTACTTTGAGCTCCATTTCAAGGTTCTTTTCATAGGAAAACCAATCAAAATCACCTCTATTTCTATAATATGTTTTCCATTCTATCAAATGAGACCAAGAAAATGAGAATACAATCATAAATACTATACGAAATAGACCACGAAGTCGGCATTTTCATTAAAAATATCGGTCCAAGTTTTTTTTGCAGTCATTATGCACTGCGTGCTGAAGGATTTTTTTATATGGTGCACACTGACCACACAGACCCATTCTCTCACATGTGGGCCTACCAGCTTTCTCCTGCTTGATTTGAAGCCGCTAGAATTTGAGTACAGTGGAACCTCAAAAATTGAACTGCTCCCAACACAACCAATTATGTAAGTACTTTTATAAGTGTATTTTTAAGGGTCTGAAATGGACTAATCTAATTTACATTATTCCTGATGGGAATAAATTCATTCGGTAAAGGCACTCGAACAGACTTCTGGACCGAAGAAAGTTCGATATTTGAGGTTCCACTGTACGTACATGTATATATACGTCAAAAACGGTGGCTCATAAGACGTATATATACGACCAAAACAGTCAAAGGGTTAATCTGGTAATCGAGAATAGTTATAAAGTAAATACTTTAATGGTTTTTAACAAAATGTTTTAACTGATTTAGTACAGGTGTAAATAATTAATTTTCATTAATTATACATGTGATATGATTGGTTGATAGGTCATAGTATTCAGAGCATTTCATGCAAATATGGACTAGGGCTAAGACTACAGTGGAACCCCAGTTTTCATCCAGTCCAGTTATCGTACAATACCGTTTTTGACCACTTTTTTTGGCAAAATTTTCCCCGTTGTCGTACATCTGCTCAGAAATTGTCCGTACCAGATGTGGCTGCTCATACATTTGTGACTCGGTCTGCCTTTGTTACTTGTTGAGTGAGCATTACTCCGCGTGCTCATCCGAAACATTTTGTAATAATTAGTTGTTTTTTGTGCTTGCAACTGCTAAATAAGCCACCATGGACCAGCAGATCAAACTTCAAAGAACTCTTCACCAAAGCAATGTCTTGAAGGTGCTTTGAAGTGACCTCGGACACTGAATTGACCCTAGGAGGAATCACTTCAATATCTTCAACTGCATAAGCATTGTAGAAAAGGTTTGGCAGGGAGTGACTTCCAGGACGATTAACTGTTCTTGGAGAAAATTGTGGCCAGAATGTATCCTCCAGAAGGATTTTGAAGGGTTTGAGGCTGACCCTGACCACCCTACGCCTGTTGTGGAATCTATTGTCTTTGGGAAAGTCCATGGAGTTGGAGGTGAGTGGCCAGGCTGTGGAAGAGTTGGTGGACAATCACAGGGAAGAGCTAACCACTGAAGAGCTGCAAGACCTTCATCTGGAACAGCATCAGACCTTAGCTGAGGAAATTGCTTCAGAGGAGGAAGAGAGAGGGGAGACTGTGCCTTCTTCAGCGATTAAGGACATTGTGCAAAGTGCAGTGAGTTGCAAAGTTTTGTGGAGAAATATCACCCTAACGAAGCTGTTGCAAGCAGTGTCAGCAACACATTCAATGACAATGCCATGTCCCATTTTAGGCAAATCTTAAGAGATGTCAGAAATGGACCTCTCTGGACAGATTTTTTGTGGGAGATGGGTCCAGTGACTCAAGTTGATCCTAGTGCCAATAAAAGACAAAGAAAGGAAGTAACCCCGGATAAGGCTTTGATATCTGAAGTCCTTATGGAAGGGGATTCCCCTTCCAAACAATAACCTCTCCTCTCTCCCCTCCTCGCCGTCTTCCATACGCCAACAAGAGTCTTCAATAAAGGGGAAAGTGATGTTATGTGTTCATTTATCCATTTCATTAGTCATTAATATTTATTTCTCATTGTTTTCTGTATGTTTAACTATAGTTATTCTTTTTAAAATGTATTTTTTGTTAATATTTTTGGGTGTCTGGAACGGATTAATTGGATTTACATTATTTCTTAGGGGAAATATTGCTTCAGTTTTCGTACAAATTGGTTTTCGGCATACCTTCTGGAATGGATTAAAGACGAAAACTGGGGTTCCACTGTATTGGATAACACTGATGGATTACATAGTTGTTTTATTTTTTTATGCAAGTGGGTTTAGTACAAAGTATTAACAGAATTCATGAAAAATTTCTAATTGACAAAATAGGAAAGGCTGAATGGCAAGTTTTGAAATTGCATAAAAAAATTTTTAAAATTAGAGAATGTTCAGTAATTAACAGGTTAGAAACTAATGGACTGTTTAAACTCACAATACTCTTAAAAGCTTTAATTTGAGATCATTAACTCTTTGAGGGGTCCATCCCATAGTTCTACAGCTTTGAAGCCAGGGTCCAATGGACCCCAATGGAAATAAGTTAGTCCTCGATGACACACTGACTTTCTTGGGTTATCTTGGGTGGCTAACCCTCTGGGGTTAAAAAAAAAAAAAAAATCAGAACGAAGTTGTAGTTCTACGCCACGAGCTCAGCTCACTCAGATAAGCTGTGAGCGTAAATTTGGGCCTAGTTGTGAGATTATATCTGTGGTGAGTGTGCACCATATAAAACAAATCCTGCAGCATGCAGTGCATAATGAGAAAAAACTGCCACTGCATTTTTGGATTAAAACAGTGACTTTGTGGTGTTTTTTTTGTATGTTTTTTACAGTTATATTCACTGTTTCTTGGTCTCATTTGATAGAATGGAAGATAAATTACAGAAATAGATTGTTTTTGATTGGTTTTAGTACTGAAAGTGGCTTGAAACTGAGTAAACAAATGACGTCATGCGTCCAATACATGTCAGCTGGTGGATGTAATGTGCATTCACGAGTGTGCTGATATTATTTATACAATAATTACATTATTGCATAACAGTAAATCTTCTATTTTTTGGTGTGAATAAAAATTCATTATGTGAATAAAAAACCAGAGTGGAATTCATCTGTAAAGCCTGAAAACATAACTAATAAACAAAGTAAATGTTATTTTAGTGCTAGGAATACCTGCATTGTTTATTCTGAAGCTTATTTTGATATTGGAATATTTTAAACTTTGTGAAATTGGCCAAATTGCCAATTTCCGATCACTTTATTGGGTAGTTGAAACAGTTGACTAGGTGATTTGTTGTGCTTAATTGATAAAATAGATGTAATACTAGCAAAATAGCTAAGAATTTGGTCAACTGGAATAATGTAATTGGCCTAAAATGGGAGTCAAAGTGGGCAAAATTGTCAATACGTAAATATCGCTGATGCAGCAAAATTCACGGAAGCATAATTTCATCAATTTTCCATCAGATTTCGTACTTTTTGTGTTATTTTATTTTTTTTTTTCCCAACAAGTTGGTCGTCTCCCACCGAGGCAGGGTGACCCAAAAAAAGAAAGAAAATCCCCAAAAAGAAAATACTTTCATCATCATTCAACACTTTCACCACACTCACACATTATCACTGCTTTTGCAGAGGTGTTCAGAATACAACAGTTTAGAAGCATATACGTATAAAGATACACAACATATCCCTAAAACTGCCAATATCCCAAACCCCTCCTTTAAAGTGCAGGCATTGTACTTCCCATTTCCAGGACTCAAGTCCGACTATAAGAAAATAACCGGTTTCCCTGAATCCCTTCACTAAATATTACCCTGCTCACACTCCAACAGATCGTCAGGTCCCAAGTATCATTCGTCTCCATTCACTCCTATCTAACACGCTCATGCACGCTTGCTGGAAGTCCAAGCCCCTCGCCCACAAAACCTCCTTTACCCCCTCTTTCCAACCCTTTCGAGGACGACCCCTACCCCTCTTTCCTTCCCCTATAGATTTAGATGCTTTCCATGTCATTCTACTTTGATCCATTCTCTCTAAATGACCAAACCACCTCAACAACCCCTCTTCTGCCCTCTGACTAATGCTTTTATTAACTCCACACCTTCTCCTAATTTCCACACTCCGAATTTTCTGCATAATATTTACACCACACATTGCCCTTAGACACGACATCTCCACTGCCTCCAACCGTCTCCTCGCTGCTGCATTTACCACCCAAGCTTCACATCCATATAAGAGTGTTGGTACTACTATACTTTCATACATTCCCTTCTTTGCCTCCATAGATAACGTTTTTTGACTCCACATATACCTCAACGCACCACTCACCTTTTTTCCCTCATCAATTCTATGATTAACCTCATCCTTCATAAATCCATCCGCCGACACGTCAACTCCCAAGTATCTGAAAACATTCACTTCTTCCATACTCCTCCTCCCCAATTTGATATCCAATTTTTCTTTATCTAAATCATTTGATACCCTCATCACCTTACTCTTTTCTATGTTCACTTTCAACTTTCTACCTTTACACACATTCTCAAACTCATCCACTAACCTTTGCAATTTTTCTTTAGAATCTCCCATAAGCACAGTATCATCAGCAAAAGTAACTGTGTCAATTCCCATTTTGAATTTGATTCCCCATAATTTAATCCCACCCCTCTCCCGAACACCCTAGCATTTACTTCTTTTACAACCCCATCTATAAATATATTAAACAACCATGGTGACATTACACATCCCTGTCTAAGACCTACTTTTACCGGGGAAGTATTCTCCCTCTCTTCTACACACCCTAACCTGAGCCTCACTATCCTCATAAAAGCTCTTTACAGCATTTAGTAACTTACCACCTATTCCATAAACTTGCAACATCTGCCACATTGCTCCTCTATCCACTCTATCATATGCCTTTTCTAAATCCATAAATGCAATAAAAACTTCCCTATCTTTATCTAAATACTGTTCACATATATGCTTCAATGTAAACACTTGATCTACACATCCCCTACCCACTCTGAAGCCTCCTTGCTCATCTGCAATTCTACATTCTGTCTTACCTCTAATTCTTTCAATTATAACTCTACTGTATACTTTTCCTGGTATACTCAGTAAACTTATTCCTCTATAATTTTTACAATCTCTTTTGTCCCCTTTCCCTTTATATAAAGGGACTATACATGCTCTCCGCCAATCCCTAGGTACCTTCCCCTCTTTCATACATTTATTAAACAAAAGTACCAACCACTCCAACACTATATCCCCCCCTGCTTTAACATTTCTGTCATGATCCCATCAGTTCCAGCTGCTTTACCCCCTTTCATTCTACGTAATGCCTCACGTACCTCCACCACACTTACATTCTGCTCTTCTTCACTCCTAAAAGATGGTATACCTCCCTGGCCAGTGCATGAAATTACCGCCTCCCTTTCTTCCTCAACATTTAAAAGTTCCTCAAAATATTCTCGCCATCTACCTAATACCTCCCTCTCCCCATCTACTAACTCCCCTACTCTGTTTTTAACGGACAAATCCATACTTTCCCTAGGCTTTCTTAACTTGTTTAACTCACTCCAAAATTTTTTCTTATTTTCATTAAAATTTCTTGACAGTGCCTCTCCCACTCTTTCATCTGCTCTCCTTTTGCACTCTCTCACCACTCTCTTTACCTTTCTTTTACTCTCCATATACTCTGCTCTTCTTATAACACTTCTGCTTTGTAAAAACCTCTCGTAAGCTACCTTTTTCTCTTTTATCACACCCTTTACTTTGTGTTATTACCTCCAGAAAAAGATTCTCTACAATTTCATAAGAAAAACTAATAAAAAATTTTGAAAATTCTTGGACCCTGTGGACAAGTTTCAGATCAGGGGTTTGGACCCTGAAAGGGTTAAGTATGTGACAATTTTGAATTCATCTGAGAAGTTACTCCATATTTTTTGCCCTTTAATTTGTGTAGAATTTTTGCAAGTTCAGTTGAGTGTGAGGGATATCAAATGTTTGTTTCTAGCATAGTGTGTGTTCCATTTTAGTTCTCAAGGAAATATCTTGGGTCTCTGTTATAGCATAGTGTTCTAAAGATATTATACATGAATGCTTATTATACAGCCTCTCCTCAGCGATGTACTCATTTACTGACTGCTTAGTTATGACCAGCTCTCTGACCAATATGCAAACCTAAGTAATGTATATTAGAGCTGATTTCCTCTATTCTGTTTATTACAGTATACAGTACACTACTGTATAAACATTTAAAAATATACATAAGGGGGGTTACCAATAGACTCCTGTCTCTTCAAGAAGGTGCTGGACAGACATCTAAAGTCAGTACCTGATCAGCCGGGCTGTGGTTCGTACATCGGTTTACTTACGGCCAGCAGTAACAGCCTGGTTGATCAGACCCTGATCCACCACGAGGCCTGGTCTCAGACTGGGCTGCGAGGGCATTGACGCCAGAAACCCTCTCCAGGTAATGGGGCCAAGGTGACATTAAAAAATATAGAAAGACCTGTACAGTATACTGCTCGTTTAATGGCCAGTTTGCTTACCAACCTACTCTTAGGAACGGAACTTGGTCATTAAGTGAGGAGCGGCTGTATTTAGTTGGTCGAGGGAATCGAATAAGGGCTTGGGGTGTTGCCTATTTAAGCTTTGTGATTGCTCTGAAAGCTCTGTTTTAAGTAATACTGTAATTGGTTTGAGGTGGGTTGCCGAACTGGATCTCCAGGCACTGGTTCCATGTGTGAGACATGGATAAATGATGGAAGGTAAGTAATAGCAGCATAGATTGTAGAACCTAGCAGGTTCAGGAAGTATAGATCAGTTTCCTCGGCTAGCCTTGTGGTAAGTGTAGGAAAGGGCTCAACCTCATCAGTCATCTTGTAGGTCCAGAACTTTTCAAGGGAGGTGCCATAATGCTGGTGAGGGGCTCTTACCTGAAGTATTAGATTTATCCTCTCCTATATTTTTGCATTGAACCTGAATGCCTCCCATACTCATATTTGCTAATTAGTTTTACATTACCTAGAAATAACTATCCTAAACTCAACATTTTGTTTTATACAGGATTGATTTGGTACAGTCTCAGATCCGCATCACAGAAGGTATGACGCTCCCCGAGCTTGGCATGACCCAGGATAAAATTATTCCACAAGGCTGTGCAATTCAGTGCCGTGTAACGACAGAAGATCCTGCCAAGGGTTTCCAGCCAGACACTGGTAGATTAGAGGTATGGCTTCAGCATTATCAGTATTATGTATTATAAACTGTTGTGGTTTGACAGATAATTTTGATATGCTATACAGAAGAAAAAACTTTTTGACATCCCTCGTGTTCAATTCTCACTTTGCAAAAAATAACAATGCATGTAAAGGGCCTGAAGATCTGGAACTCTTTGCCTGAAATAGCAAGAGGTCCCCTGTCCACAAATCAATTCAGGACTATACTCAAAAATCGCTTCCTCTCTCAATAACCATACCCACACTATGCTAAACTAACCAAATTTAAAGCAACTCTCCCAGATATTTTATTATCCCCTAACTATTAAGTCATTATTGCAAACTTAAAAATGTACGTTTGTATCATTAATTGTACTACCTCATATTAATAATAGAGTAAAATATTGAATATTTGTAATCTACCACTCTTCACCTGTCTAGACTTAAGTAGTCTTTAAATGCATATTAGGTTTTAAGTCTTCTCAAAATGCCTCGGCATGATAGTGGCTTTCTTTGTACCAATCAAATTAAGAAATGTAAACACACATTGCAACCTTAATGAAGAAATTAATTTTTTGAATTTTGAATACAGTACTGTACTTCATAACTGGCTGCTGATACAAGCCCTCTTAACTATATCTTCAGTCCTTCATTACTGTTCAGAAGCTTTCAGTAAATATTAAAAATGCAAAACTTCTGATTCCCACATGCAGTATTGTAATGCAATACAGTATTAATATTAATATAGCACCCACAAATTTTCCATAATTGATGCAGCAAATTTTTATCAGATTAAAAATTTCTCCAGTAACATGCATAAACTTTTTTAGAGTATTTGCTTATTTTCTGTTACTATACATGATCTTTTATTTAGGTATTCCGAAGTGGTGAAGGAATGGGCATTCGTCTTGATGGTGCTTCTGCCTATGCTGGAGCAATCATCTCTCCATATTATGATTCGCTGCTCATGAAAGTCATTTCAAGAGCATCTGACTTGCATGCCTCTGCTGCTAAAATGAATCGTTCCCTCCGTGAATTCAGAATACGTGGCGTGAAGGTAAAAACCTTAAAATTCTCATGTGACTGCTATGTGAATAAAAGAAAATTGTAAAATCTGCAAACCAAGATATGCAGGGTTATATCAGTAATTAGATAAAATAGATACCAAGAACAATATGGGGCCCAGCATTGATCCTTATGGAAATTCAGTTTAGTAGTAACTGTCCTGATGTTTCATTCCTTATAATGAGTCTTTGCTTTCTATTGTTCAATTATTCCCTTATCATTGTTTATGCCTTTCCTTTTACACTGGCTTGCTTCTCCAATCTACTAAGCAGTTTTCTATATGGCAGTGTATCAAAAGCTTTTAAGTCTATAAATAAACAATCCATCCATCACTCTTTCCTGTCTGATACCTTTTAATCTATTGTACATCTAAGGTTTGTAAAATAATTCTGAATTTATGAATCCATTATGGCTTTGCAAGTAATTTAGTTTTTCAAAGTGTTCAACAAGGCCCCTGTAATGTTTTCCCATAATTTGCACGTTGCTATTGTTAGGGTCACTGGTGTATAGTTCAGGGCTTCCTGCCTTTCATCTGATACTTTGTTAGTGACTTGCACAGAATTTGGACTTGATATTGTTGGTGATAATATACCTAGTCCAGATTCCTCCATTGTTTCAATTAATTTCATTAGTTATTTTGATTAGTAATTCAGTTTGGTTTATCTCATTTGTTAATGGTACTTGTTCATTCATGAACACCATATAAAACCTGATAAACTTGTTGCATACCTGTCATTTCCTGTGAAGTTTCTCCATTCTTTCCTCTATGCTATCACTTTATATTTAGTAATTTTTAAGTGCTTGTGACATAGCTTTAGTTGAATCTTTTGCAGTTGAGTCTCAATTTTTTTTCAACTTCTGACGATGGTAATTGCCGACTCGTCTGCTGACTAACCTGATTTCTACCTTTTTTTTTATGCTTATGTTTTCCTAGATTTTGTTTTATTAGTTGTGGGGAAAGGCAGAGGGAAAGGAAGCTATTCTAGTTCACATGGCTGATTTCTGTGGTGGAATATTGATGTTACTGTTGATCAGTAGTATACTGTTAGTAGACTAGAACTTGGAACACTGGCCATTGAGTTCAGTGCTGGCAAGCCTGTACTTGCTGCTACTGTGACCCACTGTAGGTTCAATACCTGACACACTTTCACATGTCATTAGACATACTATATCAGGATTTTTACTTTTTAAATAGACAAACAACATAGAACTTGGATATAGCAAATTTTTGGGAGAGGCCTTCTGTTTTTTAAACTCATAGACACTCTGTGTTATGCTAGTACCATTCATTTAAAAAGTCCTGTGTACTTTATCTTCAAACAGTTCACCTTGTGTTATGTACCCTGTAATAATGTTAATATCAGTGGCATGTCATGAGCATGCTTTATCATAACCCTGGAACATTTATATTTTTTTTTTTAACACCAGCTGTCTCCCACCAAGATAGGGTGACCTGAAAAAGAAACTCTCCACTCTTATCACTGTCCTGCCAGAGGCATGCTGACATTACAGCTTAGATGCCCCTCCAAACTGCAGTATCCCCATCCCTCCTTCAGTGTAGACACTGAACTTTCCACCTCCAGGGCTCCAGCTAACCAACTTTTCCTGAAGCCCTTCATAAATGTTACCTTGCTCTCACTCCTGCAACACAGCTTCATAAAAACTAATTACCTCCACTCACTGTTTAACACACACGCATGCCTGTTGGATGTCCAAGCCCCTCTCATGCAAAACCTCCTTTACATGTATTAATAAACTTTGAGCAAATGATCAGTAACTTTGCTATTAAAGAGTTGATCTAAAGATTTTGCAGTGATTATTTTTAATTGATAGAATGGAAAAAACTTTAATGTTTTTTAACCTTAAAGCTGTCTGGAGTATGTTTCAAGTAATTTAAAAGCATAGAATCTGTACCCTACAAATAGTCATTGCTGGTCCCATTCAAATTAATTTACCAAGGCTAGATATGTCACTGTATGTGTTTTCAAAGTCATTCAGCTTTATGAAACTAAAAATTTCTATTACTGTCTTATATTTGAATTCTTCTGACATGTAATCAACTCTTGTGATGTAATTGATTAAAAAATCTAAGGAATTTTTATAGTTGCATTTCAGTGACTGAAAAGCAAGCTCTAGAAATTTTTCTTAAACCTACATAAGTGTAAAAATTTTTAAGACTTAATAAATTCAAATTTGCAACTCTGATGATGATTTGAGTAAGCATGGTGTCCTATTTTTGCTCTGTTGATAATGGCGATCTATAAGAGAGGCAGTAGGGAGGGACAACCAGGAGTAAACTTTGCTTTTGCTGCCTAAATTTCTATCATAGGGACTTGTTCATTGATAACAGATGTGCTATCCAGAAATTTGACCCCTCATTGTCCTTTGTATACAGCTTTGGTTATGTCATATTTTTAGCAAGCACAAAAGGCATATTTTACTGGGTCCCTGGACATGCTGATATTCAAGGTAATGAACATGTTGACTCAGCTGCTTGGTCAACTATTAAGGATCTACAGATTTCCTATAGGACTATTTTTCACTCCTCTCTCACCACCTCTGTGACTGCTGACAAAATAACATTGGTTTGCATTAGACCACAACAAATTCTCTCTGTCCATGTTTAGGATTCTGTTATCTTCTCACCATTGTCAAGCTTGGGAGAGCACACACTCAGGCTTATGTATTGGACAAGAGCAACTCGCACGTATCACACGGAGAAATAACCGGCAGTACTCTGAGGACTGTCAGGTTGCATTGTCAGTATATTTATTAATATTGTCCCTGCTTATCAGAGTGCAAGTAGGATTTGCTTCCAACATCTAAACTGCCTCGGCAGACTCACTCTCACTGACCTCCTTGCAGAAAGTCCCACCTTTTACAGACTAACTCAACCTAACCTATTGTAATCCCAACTGACCCCTAACTTTATATTTCCTTCTCATATTTATTCTTAACCTTTGCACATCTCTACTTTTACACATCCCTCCTTGCATTGCTGTGACACCCTTATGGATTTAGCACTTAATTTTATCATAACAGATTAGAGGAGAAAATTCTTGCATCAGAATAGTACTTTACACAGCGTACTAGATTGATCCTACTTGCATGATTCTTTTTTTTTTTTTTTTTTTATCCTATGTTTGGCAGTTTCATATTATCTTACACTGCAGAAAGATAAGAAGATACTGCAAATTCAATGTAGCATGTTCCAAAGAGATTTTCAAGCCACAAACACTCCTTCCTGTCTTGAAAGTTACTGTAATATTTCGTTGCCTTGGACGGGTTTTCATGTCATATTTCATCCACCTGGATGGGTTTTCCTAACATATTTCAATGCCCAGGACAGGTTTCCCTGTCCTGGGCAATCTTCAGTAGTTTTAGTCCTAAAGAGAGAGCAATGGGGCACCAAAATTTTGAAAATACATAATTTATCATTGTGGGTTTTTATTGCAATATCTCTAGTGTAATTTCCTAAATCTTCTTAATATTGTTTGTTGTGGTCATTTAAATATGATTTACAGTGAAGGAGCTTTTAACATGATTCTCTTTTGGCAGACCAACATTCCATTCCTCCTCAATGTGTTGGAGAATCAGAAGTTCCTCAATGGTACCATAGACACCACTTTTATTGATGAACACCCTCAGCTCTTCCAGTTTCAACCAAGCCAGAATCGTGCACAAAAGCTTCTTAATTATCTTGGAAATGTTCTGGTTAATGGTCCATTAACTCCTCTTGCTACAGGCCTTAAGCCAGCTGAAATATATGCTGTAGTCCCAGGAACCCTTCCTG